TTGAGCCGCCATTGGCCCGGGTGACCCGTTAAATTGGGGCTCCCCATCGGTCCGGGTGACCCGTTAAATTGGGGCTCCCCATCGGTCCGGGTGACCCGTTAAATTGGGGCTCCCCATCGGTCCGGGTGAGCCGTTGAATTGGGGCTCCCCTCTGAGTTGGATGCAATTTTAGCACGTGGAAATAATATTTAGGTCAGACACTAGGGCCTTCTCGTGTCGACAAGGCCGGCTATTCACCGGTAATTCATTACCAAGATTATCCCGTTCTAGCGAGTTACTGCCCTTCACAGAAACACTTAGTGGCCGAGGGGGTTACCGACAGGCCACGAGTGGACATTTGCCCGGGGTCAGGGAGGGCAGAGGTGGACATTTGCCCGGGGTCAGGGAGGACAGGGGTGGACATTTCCCGGGGTCAGGGAGGGCAGGGGTGGACATTTGCCCGAGGTCAGGGAGGGCCCTGATGTAAGTGATACATCTGCCCGTGGGTCGGGGAAGGTGGACATAGGACACGGTGAGAAAATGCCGTGCGGCGACATCCGAGGCGAAATGGGATGATTCCGTTGACGGTAACTCCAGCCGTTAGATGAGGCGACTGACCAGTGTCCAGGGAAACTTGAGCCTAATGGCATCGATACCAGAGCCAGCAGCTGCTGTGGTAGACAGGGGGCTCAACTCTTTTCTATAAGGTGTCAGGGGTTCTCAACACTAGATGTCAAGGGTTCTCAACACTAGATGTCAGGGGTTCTCAACACTAGATGTCAGGGGTTCTCAACTCTTTTCTCTAAGGTGTCAGGGGTTCTCAACACTAGATGTCAGGGGTTCTCAACACTAGATGTCAGGGGTTCTCAACACTAGATGTCAGTGGTTCTCAACACTTGATGTCAGGGGTTCTCAACACTAGATGTCAGGGGTTCTCAACTCTAGATGTCAGGGGTTCTCAACACTAGATGTCAGGGGTTCTCAACACTTGATGTCAGGGGTTCTCAACACTAGATGTCAGGGGTTCTCAACACTAGATGTCAGGGGTTCTCAACACTAGATGTCAGGGGTTCTCAACACTAGATGTCAGGGGTTCTCAACACTTGATGTCAGGGGTTCTCAACACTAGATGTCAGGGGTTCTCAACACTTGATGTCAGGGGTTCTCAACACTAGATGTCAGGGGTTCTCAACACTAGATGTCAGGGGTTCTCAACCCTAGATGTCAGGGGTTCTCAACACTAGATGTCAGGGGTTCTCAACACTAGATGTCAGGGGTTCTCAACACTAGTCAGTAGTTCTCAACACTGGTCAGGGGTACTCAACACTGGTCAGTGGTTCTCTACACTGGTCCATTCACCTTAACCTTAATGTCCACTAAACTGTATGTAAAAACTCACAGTCACATCAATTTAGATCAAACTTAGATAGCAGGCTACTCAACATAAACATACCATCAACAGTGAGTTACTTACTGCACTCATTAACTACATCTCCCCCTACCCCCCTCAACCTCCCCACTGACGCAATAGAAAAAAAAACCTCGTGTCAACAAATCTAATTGCAGATAAAAGAAAATATGAAACGGTTAACCCCGACAACTCCTGGCAAAGCTTTTTTCAACGGATTTCTCTCCCTTTGAATTTTTTTATTTACGACAAGCAGCAAATAATGAAGTGTGTGCGAGCCGTGTTGGCGTGTCACAGTTCAAAGCACAACATCTATTTCACACATCTAATACATTCTGGAAACTTCTAGAGAAAAAAAAACCCGCCCATCTACAAGAAAATATGGCGGAGACGACTAGCTTGTGAACACTGGTAAACATGGCTTCCAACGTCACATGCAATAAAAGTTGTTCTGGAAGTAAGGGGGGAGGGGGGGGGGGGTGTTTTTTTTATGCAGCAAAAATGTGCGCTAATATTTGTGTTGAAGTCGGCAACTAGCGGTCTCCCACCTGCCTGGAACTAAACAGCAATTAGCGGTTTGTGTTGGATTTTTAATCAAGTCGCACTCATTAACCCCTAGAGTTGGGACAATTGAGCTAGAACTTAACAAATTTCTGTTCTGACAGTGTGGTAGTGGCAAGTCCCAGTGTGGTAGCGGCAAGTCCCAGTGTGGTAGCGGCAAGTCCCAGTGTGGTAGCGGCAAGTCCCAGTGTGGTAGTGGCAAGTCTCAGTGTGGTAGTGGCAAGTCCCAGTGTGGTAGTGGCAAGTCTCAGTGTGGTAGTGGCAAGTCCCAGTGTGGTAGTGGCAAGTCCCAGTGTGGTTGGTAGTGGCAAGTCCCAGTGTGGTAGTGGCATGTCTCAGTGTGGTTGGTAGTGGCAAGTCCCAGTGTGGTAGTGGCATGTCTCAGTGTGGTAGTGGCAAGTCCCAGTGTGGTAGTGGCAAGTCCCAGTGTGGTAGTGGCAAGTCCCAGTGTGGTAGTGGCAAGTCTCAGTGTGGTAGTGGCAAGTCCCAGTGTGGTAGTGGCAAGTCCCAGTGTGGTAGTGGCAAGTCTCAGTGTGGTAGTGGCAAACCGTAGTGTGGCAGTGTGTATAAACAACCAAGTAGCGAGTTTTATAACATAAGCGTTTTAAGATAAATTTGAGTGCATGGCTCCAAAACGTTTTAAACTAACCGTGAGTCCATGGCTAAACAAAAGACCGTCAAATTTCTCAGAGTAAAACCTCAGCTGTGTGCCTTCCCAACCTACCAGCCGACGCCATTAAAATAAGATATTCTAGACTGCCAGTCAATTTTAAACATTTTATTGCTTTTTCTTATTGCTTTCAGACGTTCTTATGATAGGGCGGGCCAGGGGAGAAAGAGGGGATCATTGATAAACATTTATGCATTGGGAAATTGAGTTAACTTTTAGAGCGTCTGTCTACAGAAGCGCTATCTATTGCAAGAATTACCGCGTACACCTGAATACTGAATGTGTACGGGGTACACCTGAATACTGAATGTGTACGGGGTACACCTGAATACTGAATGTGTACGGGGTACACCTGAATACTGAATGTGTACGGGGTACACCTGAATACTGAATGTGTACGGGGTACACATGTGCATTGTTACACGTAGCACTCACCCACTACCCCTACCCCACAGAAAATGTGTACTGGTCTTGTCGTGTGTACATGTGTTGTGTACGGGTCTTGTCGTGTGTACATGTGTTGTGTACGGGTCTTGTCGTGTGTACATGTGATTAGGGACCCGGCTCAAGGAACAACCACAGGGGAAAATGCAAACATTGAATGGGTCATTGTCCAGGAGGTCATGTGACCTACTTAGGTCTCGTCATGTTCCATTCTTAGTTTGACATTGTATAATACCTTATATGGATTGATGGTGCAACTACCGGGGTTTTTTCACTGTCTTATTAAGGGTGTCTAGGACCCAGAAATTTTCCATCAAGATCTGATTGATTAATTCTGATCAGATAACCACCCCATAGCTCAGTGGCTAGGATCTCGGCGCGCCACGGCGGCGGCCGAGGTTCGAATACTCGGTGAAAAGCTGAGTATAGTCTATGGTGTCTAGTGGTTTAGTGGCTTAGATTCCTCGGTTCGGAGCCGAGTAGGGTGTCACTGTTACGCAGTGACCTGGATCGCTAGATCTCAGTACCCTCAGTACCCTCAGGTTGGCCCGTGTGGCCTGGATCGCTAGATCCCTGGATCACGCTCGCCCAAGGTGGCGTAGATCCCATTATTCTCTCATAGGTGGCAGTCCACCTTGATCAAACGGTCTATTAAGACCAAGCCGTCCATTTTGTCCGGCAATAGATTCTGACCATTTGAACGTGAGAGAACTTAAGTCCTGAGTGTGCTATGCTTTCTTAAGTTGTTTTAGTCTTCTAGTATAATATTACTTGTCGCCAAGTGATTCATGAAGCTATAACAGTGTTGTGTGACCTGTGGCTATTTTTATACAGTGTAGAAATCTGTGATAGTGTTTTTTCTTACGCTTTGTAAGTTGGGTTTTGTTATTTTATAAATTAAATATTTTATCTCGTTTAACCTAGTGTTCTGCCACAACTGTGTTCGCTTATTAAAAGTTGTATGCAGATTGAATGAGTTGTCAACTTCAATAGTTTCACTAGTTTTCCCTAGACATCGAAGTCGAGCCCTAGTGTGTTGTTGAGTTAGTGTTCATTCATTTAGGCTTTGAGTCATTTGCATATAACCCCGAAAAAAGAATCCGGGGACGTTCACCATCTATCTGGCTGGTAGATAGGTAAACGTTACAGTCACGTCACCTCCACCCCTCCCCCAATACACCAGACGATCGGGTCAATAACAAACCATCCAACGAGTGATTCCGTTAAGACTTTTCCTGCCTGCATTATTAAAACGCAATAACCGCCACATCTGAAACTGATTTAAAATTGCCAAACGCCAAGATGCGCCAAAATGTCGTATGCGATTGACTCGTTCCAAATCTTTGTTGTCGGCACGCTCTCTCATCCCGGCTTAACTTTGTAATCCACACGAATCTTCGTTAATCCCGCGTTAATCCCGCGCGTTTTGTTGAGCAGCTACCTGCCGCTTCATGCACCTCTGGCACCAGAAGACGGCTCTGGGAAATTAGCATATCTTAATCGGGCGAACACGCGATACGCCTGAGTGATTTTGTTTTTAAATTCACGCTCACACACAAGATCACCTGCGTGAGACGTTAGAAAACACAGGTAGACATGGGTGGGGGGGGGGGGGGGGGGTGGGGGGTGGGGTGAGGATGTGTGTGGCGGGGGGGGGGGGGAGCTGAACTAGTTAAAGTACAGCGATGTGTGCGAGTTACGTCAAACTACACCACGTGTCGACAGCTGCACATCGTCACGTGGTGTGGTGGTTCAAACATACATCTTGGGACTTAAGTCAACTGTTATGATTTGACTTGAGTTAACTGTTGTGATTTGACTTAAGTCAACTGTTGTGATTTGACTTAAGTCAACTGTTGGGATTTGACTTAAGTCAACTGTTGGGATTTGACTTAAGTCAACTGTTGGGATTTGACTTAAGTCAATTGTTTGACTTACTTTTTCTCGAGGAAGCACCAGCCGCAGTACGGGTCACCGTCTGAGATACAGCTGTTGCAGGAGTCAGCTTGACCACACGTCTCCACTGGAATCTTCGTCACCTGGGGATAGACGCAATGTCAAGGTCAGGCAACGTCATCACCAGGGTCAGTTCATGTGCAACTACATGCATAAAGAAAATGGCGACCATACAACGTGGCACCAGGGGTCGACACAAGACGAATGATGGTTGGTTGCTTATTCACGCCACAGTAATCAAATTGTCAGGCCAGCTTCTTCCTACCCACAGGCCGCTAAGTTCTTTAGGGAATTCCCAAAACATATTTCTGGACACATCAAGTAAGTAAGATGGGGGATGGGGGGGGGGGGGGGGGTGTATAACAGGGACTGACCACATGGGACCAAAAGTTGGACAATACTTTACAACACTAGACTTGCAAATATGATAATTAGTTGCAAGACCAGACTTAATAAAAAAATATGATAATTATTTGCAAGAAGGGACATTCTCCTAGAGCAGGGGTTCCCAACCCTGTGCCCGCGGGCGCCATGGCGCCCGCTGAACGATTCGTATGTCAAGTTTTGTTGTGGACAACTTAGTTCCTACATTCACTTTGTCAAGTTGTGGACAATATAGTTCCAACATTTACTTTGTCAAGTTTTGTTGTGGACAACTTAGTTCCTACATTCACTTTGTCAAGTTTTGTTGTGGACCACTTAGTTCCTACATTCACTTTGTCTAGTTTTGTTGTGGACAACTTAGTTCCTACATTTACTTTGTCAAGTTTTGAAGATCATGTTTTATTTCTTGGTTTTAGGGTATTCTTCATGTTGTCTGTGTTTGGTGAGTGTGTTGTCCTGCGTGTTGTCCGTGTGTTGTCCGTGTTTGTCATGTGTGTTGTCCGTGTGTTGTCCGTGTGTTGTCCGTGTTTGCCATGTGTGTTGTCCGTGTGTTGTCCATGTTTGCCCTGCGTGTTGTCCGTGTGTTGTACGTGTGTTGTCCATGTGTTGTCCGTGTTTGCCATGTGTGTTGTCCGTGTGTTGTCCGTGTTTGCCATGTGTGTTGTCCGTGTGTTGTCCGTGAGTTGTCCGTGTTTGCCCTGCGTGTTGTCCGTGTGTTGTCCGTGTGTTGTCCGTGTGTTGTCCGTGTTTGCCCTGCGTGTTGTCCGTGTGTTGTCCGTGTTTGCCCTGCGTGTTGTCCGTGTGTTGTCTGTGTGTTGTCCGTGTGTTGTCCGTGTGTTGTCCATGTTTGCCCTGCGTGTTGTCCGTGTGTTGTCCGTGTGTTGTCCGTGTGTTGTCCATGTTTGCCCTGTGTGTTGTCCGTGTGTTGTCCGTGTGTTGTCCGTGTGTTGTCCGTGTTTGCCATGTGTGTTGTCCGTGTGTTGTCCGTGTGTTGTCCGTGTGTTGTCCGTGTGTTGTCCGTGTTAGTACTTGCCATTCACCACTGGCACTCATTTAATTAACTATCTATCCCGGCTACTGCCCGGGGGTGGGGGACGACTCAGACGGACTTTGATTCTTTTATCGATCTCTTTTGTTCATTTCGATCACACTGGTAGGTCGGTGGCTCACCCCTGGGGCGGGGCGGCGTGAGGACGCACAAGATTCTCACGAGGGCCGGGTCCCCACCCCCCTCCTACATTACAAACAACTTTTCAAATAATTAGACGAAAGCTAAGAGAATTCCGCACCCACAACTAGGTGCGTGTGTGATTCGTGTTTAGACTAGGCATTACAAAACTAGACCTTTCCATGCCGCACAAAACTAGATCTTTCCATACCGCACAAAACTAGACCTTTACATACCGCACAAAACTAGACCTTTACATACCGCACAAAACTAGACCTTTACATACCGCACAAAACTAGACCTTTACATACCGCACAAAACTGGACCTTTACATACCGCACAAAACTAGACCTTTACATACCGCACAAAACTAGACCTTTACATACCGCACAAAACTAGACCTTTCCATACCGCACAAAACTAGACCTTTCCATGCCGCACAAAACTAGACTTTTACATACCGCACAAAACTAGACATTTACATACCGCACAAAACTAGATCTTTCCATACCGCACAAAACTAGACTTTTTAAAAATGGCACTATGGCACAAAACGCGTCTACTCAGACAGTACAAAACTAGACTTGTCCTAACTATTCCTCACAAAACTAGACTTGTCCTAACTATTCCTCACAAAACTAGACTTGTCCTAACTATTCCTCACAAAACTAGACTTGTCCTAACTATTCCTCACAAAACTAGACTTGTCCTAACTATTCCTCACAAAACTAGACTTGTCCTAACTATTCCTCACAAAACTAGACTTGTCCTAACTATTCCTCACAAAACTAGACTTGTCCTAACTATTCCTCACAAAACTAGACTTTTCCCAAACGACTCCCAACAGAACGGGAGTACCCAACCGACCCCACCAAACCGACCCCACCAAACCGACCCCACCAAACCGACCCCACCAAACCGACCCCACCAAACCGACCCCACCAAACCGACCCCACCAAACCGACCCCACCAAACCGACCCCACCAAACCGACCCCACCAAACCGACCCCACCAAACCGACCCCACCGAACCGACCCCACCAAACCCGCCCCACCACAGCCCAAGTCCCAGAATTATAAGCCTATTATCAGGGTGTTGCCAGCGACTAATCGCCCCAATAAAAATAGCATCTCCTCTCCCCACCCACCGACCTGTCTGCCGGTCCCCAGCCCCACCCCTCCCCCACATTTCGATCTCATTTTCGTGTCTATTGATTGGGGCACAAATGCCCGGCACTTTCTCAGGGCCGTTAATTAAATTGTCCTAGGGCCATCCAATTTGTGTTGGTCATCTTATTCTACACAGGACCTGCGCTCTACACCCGCAGGACAAGTGCTGGACGCTGGTCAGGCCGGGCGGCCATGATGGACGGCAACAGCTAACCGGAAGTGATTAGACCACGTGCACGAGTCATGTGATGTATTCTCCTGGCAAATGCTCAGACAAATTAAAGTCGCCGACTTAATGGGTCAGACACAGTGAGCTGCTGTAATTAGTGAAGGATGCTGATTGCATGTTTAATTAAGCTGTGCCAGTACATAAATCGAACAGCTGCCTTTGAAGAACAGGAAGATGGGGTGCTGGAACAAACAGGAAACTTCTGGAAGGGAAAATCTTCAACTGTGTGCTCACCCCGATGCTTGACCAACGGAGCGTTACGGACGCGTGTTGTTGACATGCGTGCGGCGGGGTGTGACGGACGTGTGTTGTTGACATGCGTGCGGCGGGGTGTGACGGACGTGTGTTGTTGACATGCGTGCGGCGGGGTGTGACGGACGTGTGTTGTTGACATGCGTGCGGCGGGGTGTGACGGACGTGTGTTGTTGACATGCGTGCGGCGGGGTGTGACGGACGTGTGTTGTTGACATGCGTGCGGCGGGGTGTGACGGACGTGTGTTGTTGACATGCGTGCGGCGGGTGTGACGGACGTGTGTTGTTGACATGCGTGCGGCGGGGTGTGACGGACGTGTGTTGTTGACATGCGTGCGGCGGGTGTGACGGACGTGTGTTGTTGACATGCGTGCGGCGGGGTGTGACGGACGTGTGTTGTTGACATGCGTGCGGCGGGGTGTGACGGACGTGTGTTGTTGACATGCGTGCGGCGGGGTGTGACGGACGTGTGTTGTTGACATGCGTGCGGCGGGGTGTGACGGACGTGTGTTGTTGACATGCGTGCGGCGGGGTGTGACGGACGTGTGTTGTTGACATGCGTGTGGCAGGTCACGTGGCACGGACGTGTGTTGTTGACATGCGTGCGGCGGGGTGTGACGGACGTGTGTTGTTGACATGCGTGTGGCAGGTCACGTGGCACGGTGTGGATGGGTATCGATGGGAAAAATCAATCTATACGTGTATGTCAGGTTTGCGTGGAGGCCACACATCTCGCAGGTTTGTGTGGAGGCCCACACAGTAAGCTCGCAGGTTTGTGTGGAGGCCCACACATCTCACAGGTTTGTGTGGAGGCCCACACAGTAAGCTCGCAGGTTTGTGTGGAGGCCCACCCAGTAAGCTCGCAGGTTTGTGTGGAGGCCCACACATCTCGCAGGTTTGTGTGGAGGCCCACACATCTCACAGGTTTGTGTGGAGGCCCACACATCTCGCAGGTTTGTGTGGAGGCCCACACATCTCACAGGTTTGTGTGGAGGCCCACACATCTCACAGGTTTGTGTGGAGGCCCACACTGTAATCTCGCAGGTTTGTGTGGAGGCCCACACATCTCACAGGTTTGTGTGGAGGCCCACACAGTAATCTCGCAGGTTTGTGTGGAGACCCACACATCTCACAGGTTTGTGTGGAGGCCCACACAGTAAGCTCGTGCTGCTCTGGTTTTAAACTTAATTACTATTCAGTCGAGATGGAAAACAAAGATTCCGTTGGCGTATCGGGTGGGGTGGGGGTGGGGATTAAAAAAATGGGCGTGGGGGTCTAGAATGGGGGAATAGGAAAATAAAATGTATGAAAAACGATGGCCCGATGCGCGAGACGGAAGGGGGAATAATTCATCAGTCCGACAGACGAGCTTTTGTTTTATGTATGCGATCCGAGGGTCGCTGGGTTGGTTTTCGATATTCTCATCAAATCACGTTTGTTTGGAGCCGTAATCTTAGATGGAACAACACAAAAAACATGGCTCCATGTTAGTTTCTGTTTCCTTTTTTTATGTGGCACATCTTTGGATAGGGCAAAATAAATTTTAATTTAAGCTGGGGTTGTAATTAAAGATCACACCGTACATCCAATAGGAGTCAGCTTTAGGCTGGGGCAGATTGCGTCACGGGCAGACCGAGGGCATTTCAGCAATCCGATACAACTGCCTTTGACTTAATGAAGTCATGCTGACCGACCTTTGACTTAATGAAGTCATGCTGACCGACCTTTGACTTAATGAAGTCATGCTGACCGACCTTTGACTTAATGAAGTCATGCTGACTGACCTTTGACTTAATGAAGTCATGCTGACTGACTTAATCTTTGAGCGTTTTAAAATCAAGTGCTGTTTCTGAAGCCAAACGACAAGAGACAATGGCACCA